ACACCCGTGCTGATCAGGGTCGAGTCCCAGATCAGCACTGCCTTGTACATCGGCTGGTCAGTCACTGCATTGACCACACACGCATGCCAGCCACATCCACTCTGATATTAAATGGAATTTGAATGCGAAGGCTCATATCAGTAAAGGGACTGACTGACGCCCGGATATTTTACCCTTTATGGCATAAGATTTGCGAATCGAGAAACCATAAAGAGAATGAATGTTGCAGTTTGTGTTGGCTGAGTCTCAAACTGATGTTGTCAAAATTTATGCATCTCAGCTTGATCGCTCAACTAGAAAGGTGGTAGTTGCAGAGAATGGCCAGGTCATTCTATAGCCGAGGACCCAACCATCGCTCACTAAGGATCGCCGACTTTAGACAGAGAAGCAGCGAACTTCTTCTGTGATGTACCGCCACAAATTTCCTTTTCTCAAGAGGGAAAAAGATGAAGATGCACATCTATGAACAATACCCTTGCTTCACGTTGACACACATCATCAAGTTTGCCAACATGAAACATTCAAAAAACTTCAGCGCCCCTTTTTCAATCGCCCTCTCCTCAATAAAAGATAACATTCCTTATCATAAATGAGCAGTCATAGATGCCATTATTATTGTAGTTGGCAACCACGTCTTGATTTCGTTATCGGTAACGAAAATAAATAATCAAGTAGAACACCACGATTATCCTTGCGGCAGAGTCTGAAGGCATTTCGATGTACTCACCTTTATCTACAGCAGACTAGTCATGGAAGACCCGGCTTGTCGTAACCACATGCATCAGATGGTCCCTGATAAACATAAGAACGATAAGTTTTCATACAAAAACGCGACGATATCAATCGAAAACGGAACAAATGGACTTAAGTAAGACTTTAGAAGGTGATCAAAAAGAACAAAACAGACGGCGATAGAGTGGTGTATACCACTGTTGTAATGGTTTCATGCAACCTGGACAGTATCCCCTCATCAACAGCACAATGAGGAGAGTTAAGCGTGGGGACCGAATTTGTAGAAGGGTGAACATTGAAGAATCGCTGGAAAGGAGAGAAGGGAAGTTTTGAGGCATAACCATCTTCTCCAGTGGGGTTGCCAAAAGGTCATGCTAGATGATGTTATCATCCTCTATTCAAAAAGGAAAGATGAAGAGGGCATGTCTGTTGAGTCATTCCTATGCAGTAGGGTAGTCCTGTTTTGAAACGAGTATTGCTACAGAACTTCCTCACAGTTACACTTATGCTCAGTTGTAAGGAACCTCATCTGTAAATGTTCCCCCAGAGAATTCGCCTATGAAAAGATCTAGTATAGAGTATAGTGTAGATAAAACTAGGTCGCAGCTGTAGACAAGAAGATCACAACTTACTCCCAACTTCCGTCTCGCTTTTTCCTCGGCATAGTTGTCAGCAGTTATAAGATTCTTGTGCTGTGCGAGGTTTTTCCATTAGGGGCTATTGAATTTGAAACTACAAACCACTACAAATCTCGCACAAGAATACAATAATCTTACGATCCTCTGTTTTGTTAAGTGCTGCTATTTGGCCGCAGCCTGCGCTTAGAAAGTCTTTGAAAGATGGCAAGTTGTGGGCAAAACTTGTGCCGAGGTTGGAACTCGAATAACTACTTGTACTATACTTTCTGGGTACCACTTTCCTTATTCCTAATACTAGCGAGACCTTATTTGCCCTCACATTCTCAGTGGCTTTTATATTCGAATGAAATCATGCTACCATGAACAAAAAGAAACTTGATGACACAACCCCCTGCAGAAGTGAACTGCTCTACCACATGCGTTGCGTTTCCACCTTTACCGATGCACAAACTGTTCAAAGAGAAATCTGATATTTCCAAGTCAGCCACAGACAAATTTGATCTAGGGTGATCAGCTTTTCGGAAACGTTGACAATTTTTAGGGTTTTTGCTATGAACATTTTTACACAATTACTTTCCACGCAGCGTTCATTCACAACAAGATAGAGTGATTCAAGCAACAGTATCTTCAAGGAGGACTTGAATTTGTCAAATCGCTTAACGCCGTAACCAATTAGAATCACTTCACTTCTCTAGCGATTTTATGGAAAGGTTCCGTTATATATATGTATTTTTTTATATAAGTTTTTCTCAAAACTGAACAAACTCTTTTTAAAAATCAAAAAAACCGAGAGCGCTGAATGAAAGAAACCTCAACATTTGAAGTCATGACAGATCTGGAATGGATCCCCATCGCTGGTTTCGAAAGAATGGTATTCACTCATGAATTCACTTATGCACCAGTAGCCCCCGGATGGGACCAGGCCCTTCCCCTTGGCCGATAACGGAGTCACAGTGCTCTTCTGATGAACGCTTTTGGACGAAACTCCAATTGGTCATTCTAGTTTGTAGCAAGATCAGGGGGTCTATTACCAAGATGAAGGTGTGAGAAAGGTTGATTGATGTTGGCAGAGGATTGGCATCAATATTTGTTTCAACTACTCTTGGAGTACGCGTATCCTAGCGACAAACAAGCTATTTCTTAATGATGAATGAATCTCGGGCGCGAGCTAAAAAAGAGCTGAACAAGCTCGTTTCCACTGATTTCTTTTCGTCAATGAGGCCCATAGACGATTCTTAGTTGGGTTCCATAACCTTTTTTTAAATTTCTAGAAGCAAATCGCAAATTTAACGGTTATCCTTCGTAAGCTTTTTGCTGAATGTCTGCAGAGGAGTATTAATATGAGACCCTTGATGCTAGAGAAAAGCTCAGAGAAAGATGCAAGGAAAGATAGTTTGAATGCTCGAGTATGTATCAAGAGTAATGGCTAATCCTCCCGCTAATCTTCAAAAGCGCTTTTGTTTCTTCACGCCAAACAATATGTCACGAGCCGCTCGCGATACTTATTACTGCAGTTCTGGCATTAGGTGAAAGGTAAAGTAGTAGCGAAAAAAGCAGAAATAACTTTGTCTGGATTGTTGACAATGCGTTGGCATTTTATCTTCATTGTAAATCTGCAGCAAACAGATCTTGAGAGCAGAGGCTATTAGCAAAGCTGTTACAAAAGGGTTGTTACTAGGGCAGCATTTGCATGTAGGGGGACTAACCCATATGAGGCACATGGGTGGTGGGTTTCTTTTTGATTACGAATAGCACTTGGTTATCTCTAGGCCCATGAACGGTTTAGGCAAAAAGCCTCTGGGAGCCCCCTATAGTTCACCATCTATTGACATGTAGGGGAGGGGTGGTGGGTATGGGCGAATGGGCAAGAGGTGCTGCTACCCCCATTTAGAGGGTAACAAATGAAACTCGAATAGAACCCGCACCGATCAAATCCTCACCCTCCCCCCATCCTCGGCACTGGCCGGTAGTCCTACTTAACCACAAAATGCAGAATCGAAAGTTGAACATTCTGGAAACCTTAAATGGTCGCCTATGTATTTGAGTAGTACAGCGATTGCAAGTGAAAGTTGAATGCGCCATTGAGGCACTTAATAGGGTGGGAAATACCGAGAGTAGGGACTTGTATAAGAAAGATCACAAGCTTCAAAATTGCCACCAACGAAACTTGGCTGTTGTTCAGTGATCAAAAGTGTTCAAATCTAATCTCCAAACGCAAGTGATTAGGAAGAAAGCCCCTAGGATTCCCAGTGTCAGTGAAGATTCGGAAAAAAAANAAAAAAAACTCCCTCAGACAAAAACCTTTTTGTCGGTTTTCGTGGGTAGATATGTCCCCTTCTTCAGAACAGGGCTTATTCTTTCTCACACAGGCCTCAGTGATCGGCTTAGTTTGTTTTTCAGTTATCGGCTCGTTTGGTAGCACATGACCTTGCCACTAATCTGTTGATAGTTCGAACACTACGATTTAACTAAATTACCATATATAGGTTATATACTACTAATGGGACTTTTATCGGATTTTGTAATGTCATAGCAACGGCGAATCGACGATTGACGTTCTGCAAAAAACTGCTACCACACAACAGAATGCGATGCACAACTTTTCAACGCGATAGCTCAAAGTACGATCTGCCATTAAAATCTGATCGATCAACTGCCACGGGGAAATCTCCCATCCATGTTTCCCTAGGTCCGCAGAGAGCATACCAAGGCGATCAACTCTCAGTACGGGGAACACCTGGACGAGAGCTTAGCTATGAGCTGCCATTCAGTGACAAAGGGGCTTGCGGATACGAGACAGTGATCAGTCGATAGCAAAATGAATAGTGGGCTCTGGAGGGCCCTTTGAGTGGCCACGAAGAGGCAAAAGGTTCTGATTAAAGAGAGGCGAATGCGAAGAAGCTCTACTGGGCACTATGCTTCCTGTGCCCTTCAGAATCTGCTGTTTTTGCTGAATTGAATAGCGCAAGGTTGAACTAAGTGTTGTGGCTGTTGAATTAATTATAAAATCACTTAGAGTTTAAGCCGTACAACGGCATGTCAACAAGAAAATTTTAATCTTCCAACATGCAAGCAGTTTTAAGCTAATGTAAATATGCTATTTGGGGAGAAACTTCATGAATAGCGAACAAAATTACTTTTTTACTGAATAAGAAATAAGTGGGCCGTAAATAAAAACAGTTTTTGGAGAGTTTAGAACTACAGAAAGGCATCACCTTCCTAACCGTACGAGCAAGCAAACATTCCCTAAGAAGAAACTGAGCAACTCAAGGGGATGCGTCTGGAGCTAATCCACATAGCAAGACGAAATCGATGCAATCCGCCGGATCCATCAGGAGGTTTTTGCTGAATCTCTGCGACTCATCTTTCCCAGTCAATTCCACAGCAACCTATTCATAACCTGGTAGCAGCTGGTTCTGCAGCCTCCTCCCCTCATTCGCACATACGCATATTTTAACGGCGTAGGCTCAACCGAGCAATTCAAAATGCACACCTATCCGATAGTTATTAAAGAATTTCACAATATACACATAGGAAACGAATTGAGCGAACGGCGACAGTCGGTGACGCATCGATGGGCTCGCGAACAGCAATCGCTCGCAACTGCAGGATGGCCGCCATCGGTTCGTGTCATGCGAACAGCTGGTGGGCATTGGCGACGAAAAACGCGACGATGGCACCGTTGTAACTAAGCTCGGACATGGAAGAGATCATTGCATTGCAGAAGTTGGTGTCACAGCAGAACGAGCACCTGAAGGAGTAAACATCGGTCACAAACTGTCATCCACACCAAAACTTACACCAAAATTTTATATACTCTTCCAAATCTCTGGATAGGAGTGAGCGTTGTTTTCCAATTGTGTCCTTTTGAAAAAAAAANAAAAAAAAACTATGTGATGACGAGATCACAAAGCTTTCCTATTAAGGATCCTTTGACGTCAGCTAACAGAGTAACTTCGTTGTTTTTACTATTTTCAATTTGAGCATTGTAAAGAAGGTGCCTGGATTTGAGCAAACAAGCCGTGGAAAATGGAACGTTTTCAAAACAAACCCAACGAAGCGATGTTCCATGTCAGCCAGTTGCGTACAGCCATTGCGGCAATGCGACGAGCAGGATCTCTCGAACATGTAGATGGACGAGTCCGCCTCGGAGTACAATCGCCATACCTAGTACAATTCATATGAACAAAACGTATGACATTTACTTTTCTGAGGATCTCTCAATAAAAACAACAACTAAGTTTCCTGGGAACCACCTTCAACGGAACCAGGGCACCATACGCTGAAGCAGAAAACACTTCAACAACCATGTGCTAGTATCGCCATTAAGAATTTAGAAGTAAACGTAGCATAACCAACAGTTGACCTCAGCTCAATCTCTGGAGAACTTATCGCGCATCCGTTATTTCATTAATGTTTGAGACTGAAAGTTTTTCTACTCTCTACCCATCATCTGTGGGTTGTTATACCGAAAGTCACACATTGGCTAACAGCCGATCAGCCTCATTTTTCCTTCATTTAGTACCACCAAAGAGCTTTACTGGAGTAGTGGAAAGGTTAGAGTGTTGTGAAGTCGCTGACATTAGTCGGACCATCTGCCTGCTCTGCAAGTCAGAACGTATACCGTGCTGACTCCTTGCGATACTGCGTGACAAGGCCCCAGAAGATTTGATGGGTCGCTTCAGAAGTGTTGGTTTTTTTTACATATAAATCGGTCCCTCGCACAGACAACCAGTTAAACGAGAAGTTTTGCGTGTCGAACATCAATTTCCTTTGTGTGAGAGCTCGATGACAGTCATCATAGTGCAAGCCGTCTCGAGCTATACCGATTAGTTGTTAACAACAAAATTCCTAATGGGCTAGGAGGACTTGGGGATGATCTCCTCTCGAACGCTTAGCAATGAAAGTACGCCATTTCTCTGACGAATATTAGTTCACCTTCGTCTAAGCTTATTCCTGACGTAAGCATCGCGGAATTGAGACATTCTGGTTTTTTTAGACGTTTTAATTTCCAATTCAAGACATTCCAGGATTAGAAATCGTCAAATGTGACGGCAATTTCAAACAAAATTTAAGACAAATCAGAAACCACCAAGCACATATAAGTTATGAGGAACGACTACGGTAGGGTGATATGTATTGTGAGAAAGAAACATTGAAGGGGCTGGGCCATGAGAGTGGATAAGAAAAGGTCAAGGCAATTTGATAACTTCAGCAGGTTCAGGAAACCTCCAAACCTTGTAAGTGGTGAATAATCTGTTTGAAAGCAAAAAGCGATCGGCCGCGAATGTCCTTATTCATTAGTTAGTTGAATTTCGTCATCACTCTATTGTAGAAGCTGTCGAACCTACACGCTATAAATCAGTTTTGCAAACAACTATCTCAGGATCCATCACCGAATCACACTTATTTCTTTAGCTCAATAAACTCCAGGCTGTCTTCTTCTTCCGGCTCCTTTGACTATGAAGTTACCTGATGTTGAGCCTATTACATTGCAAGCTCGCAAAAATAACCGATGTTTTTCCTATTTTATGGAGGTAAGGGGGTTGTTCGATTTCCCAGCATAGGATAGGCATACGTTTTTCTGCGCTTAAATCAGTCTCATAGTTTTCAAGTGAAGAACTTTGGAGAGGTGATATATTTTAAAATATCAAGCATTGACAACGATTTTCTCGGTGATGCTCATCGATTAAGAATTTCTCACTTATCAAACATTCTAGAATCCTGATTTCAACGGCAAAATTTGTGGTGGTATGGGCCATGCATGACTCCAACCCTATCCGATACTTATGACACAGTATCCTCAGCATTCTCAACTAATTAGACTACCTGTCTACATAGTCTCTATATTTTTGGAGCATTGATGTATATTCAACGGACACCTGCTTCCATGGCGGCAGAGACGAATGTAGGCGTTATTGACGCCGGCTCGAGGGAATTGATAGTCAGCCAGACATACTGTGATACTGTTTGTACAGGCTTTTCTACTGTTATGTAACATTGAAGTCGTTTGCATAACTTTTACAACAGATTGACACGAAATTGATGTTCGACACGCAAAACTTCAACCTGTTGTAAACCTGTCCAACCAACAACTAAACTTGGCTAAATAAAAAGAGTGGATCAAAAGCAAAAGGGGAAGAGTGCCTCATCAAGGGGAAACCGCCGCTGGATGAACGAGGAATTAACTGAAACTTTCCTCTTCTTACTTGATACATTCGATCTCTAAAAATGAATTCAATCTATTCGTGATGAGGCGGTTTGTTGAGGACCTCGCTAGAATCGACCTATGAAGCCTTGGTTAGTTTAAAATTATCATTGAATTTGACCAGTCGTCTGGTCGTCTATGAAGTGAGCAAGGTCGTTTCCATCGTCCCGTCTAATCAGACATTACGCCTACATTATGAATTAATAGACAGATATGACACGATTTCTCCACAGATCCCCCTCACTATTAATCCTTTCTCACTGAAAGCCCTTTAGCCGATTGGTGGCGAAGCTACGTGGCGCTATCCCAAGTGACAGACGGGTTAATGGAAAGCGAACCAAAAGCCGACGTTACTTGCATAGAGACTTTAAAAATTGAGGGGTGTCCTTATTTCTGCTGAGTTGAGTGGAGTTACGCATTTTTCCTTCTCACAGTATCCATGCATGCGTATGCACACAGTGTGCGGGTGCGCTCCTGCAGAACAACTCTCCCAAAACCTTTTATTCGAGGGACTGGGAAGTAAGTGGGAGCCGAGTCAAGGCTGAGTCCAATGAATAAACCCTTATCTACTTTGGCATAGTCTGCCTAGCTACCTGGAGTCTGTTTAGCACAGGGGAACCTACTAGTAGCATGCCAGGCCCATGTAACAGCCTGGAATGCTACTAGTAGGTATCGCCTGTGCTGAACATTAATATAAATGGGCCCTATTCGAGTGAACTTGAAGAAGCCTTATCGTGAGGCAACATTGGGTAGGACCAGGAATCTAAGTTAGGAAGATCAATTACGACGTCATCGGACTGACCTAGATGAGAAAACATTGCGCTGCACGCTTCTTTGAAAACTAATGAACAATTACCCTAAAATTCCATAGATAAGAGCGGTTGAAACTACCGGTGAAAAATGAATTGGAATGAAATTGAAATTGAATGCAGTCACCCTCTAACTTGATGGATGNCATCCATCAAGTTAGAGGGTGACTGCATTCAATTTCAATTTCATTCCAATTCATTTTTCACCGGTAGTTTCAACCGCTCTTATCTATGGAATTTTAGGGTAGTCGTTGGAATAGCAGCCTAGACGTGGCGGTGTACGTGCCCTCGTCAACACACATTTGGTCATGAACATCGATTCGTAACAAGTCTAAAAAATCCGAATCGGAAGCTCGCGATGGTATAACCCCAGCTCCGAAAATCTTCGTTGCCTACGCATCAACATCAAGCTATAAAGAAGTAGAAGTGCTCTATATGGGCCCGAGAACTCCCTTCAGAGAAGACCATTGTTTTTTTTCAGGGCCATCTTCAGTGATTTCGATAAGTGAGGTTCCAGAGAAGCAGCTAAAAAGCTTCACATTGGGACTCTCGGAACAGAACAGAACAATGAGCAGTCATCATACCAACAAACACCATCCGTGATGATTCGCAGATCCAAAAGCCCTTTTTCATTGGCTAGTGACTTGGGAGCCATGTGTAGACAGTTTCATAATGAGATGGATTACATCATCCTCAATCGAAAGTTTTCTGGCTGTCGTCGCTGTTGTTTCTAAGCTTTTCACGGAATCCGACAATCGTCTCTTCTGTGCTAGATTGTGTTTTTCAGAGAGTGCATAGGGAATCGCGAAGTTCAGGAAACGAAGCCCTAAGACAATCTATTAGGAGCACTTCGTTACCTTGTTAGTTCATGGAAGGATTCTTTCACCAACAGCTTCGGAGAAGAATCTAAATAGTCCGTAGAACACCTTTACGGTAGTGCTAGGTAGGCAGAGAGCCTCCAGGTTCCAAAACTCGGCTTTCCCTAAGACTCCCAAGCTGATGTGCCAACATGGAAACCGTTGGGCAATCATCTACTAACGTCCGAATTTGTGCGGGGCGTCCCAAAATATGGACACCTATTCACTGCAATGTTTCTGAAGCTTGTTCTAAGCTGAGAATGGCAATGGAATCTATACGCAAGTTTGCCTACATTATGTGTAACAGCGAACTACAATCACTTTTCAAAATATTTCCCATTAGCGGAGGCTCAAAGTCTGTTTTTGAACTCTTTGCATGTTGCGCGCGAGCATTCATCCTCCATTCCTTCCCTACTCTAATTGTGTTACGTAGGAGTCATGAACAAGATCTGGAGAGCAGGATGGCCTATCCCCAAGCTAATGAAATGGAGCATCCGGCGTCGGCACCACTCTTGGACGAGCTGGGTCTGTGGGCGAATGTACCGTCCTGCTGATTGACAGTGAACTGGTTCATAAAGCGAAGTCGGATTAGCATTTCGGTAAGTCCATCAAGAAGCTCTTTGAGTACACGTCTTTGTTTATTTTCACGCCTGCACCGACCGTTCCGCCTGCGTCCTTCTATAGCTCAAACTTTCTCGAAAAGCTTTGTTCTGCTGTTCTCATAATTAACTTTCTCGTGGGATAAACTACTTTGGATATTTTTCGCCAGAACATTTTATTAGGTTGTCGGAGAGGTATTTGGGACTTTCTTCTTATATTGTGAAATCTTGGCTTATGAACGTTCACCGTGAAACAACTGTAGGTGCAGATCAAAGCACCCTTCATCCCATATCTGTCGTACCATTTTGCAACGATTGTGGCTGAAAAAGTCGCTCTCGAATCGAGGCAAGTTAGACTATTCCTCCTTCACAAGTTCAGAAAAGACCCTAATCCAAACCATGCAGCAAGGATCATACATATATGGTACAATGCACCATTTTCCACTGCATCTTTCTGCGAGCCAAGAAATAGGTACCACAAGTTCGAAACCATGATCTGGGAGACCAACTGTACTGGAAGGCGACCATCTTCTGAAGCTAGTTGCAGAGTATTCCATGTGTAGCACACGCGAACTAGTACAAAAGCTCAATATCCATCACGACACAGCAGCTGACCATTTGCATTGTTTCGAAATCCTTGCAGCTACGACGTATGGATACCTCATGAACTGAGTGCTCACCAGCTCCAAATGAGAAAAAGTGCATGCCAGATTTTGTTTGCTTTCAAAAGCATCTTCGCACGGCTGGACGGCCTAAAAACCGGCAACGAGATGTAGTTCCTCTACTTGAAACTCATGACAAAGCTTTGGACGCGGAGAGCATGGAATGCCAACCTCTAAAAGGGAACACCAGACTGAGGCAATGTTCAGCGTTTGGCTTGGTTCGAAGGGTATCGTTCACTGGAGGTTGTTGTCACTGAACTCCATTGTCACTGCCGAAGTATATTGCGCTTAGCTGGATCGCGTTGCTATTCTACGAGAAAAACAGCGGAAAGTCTAGCTTCTCTACAACAATGCTCGCCTGCAAGAAGACCTAAAAGAAACTTCAAAGCTTGGGATGGTATGTTCTAATCCTCCCACAGCTTTGTCCAAATTGGGGCCAACAGACTACCACCTGTTCCTGTCACTATCGAATCACTTGAAGGATAAGAAGTTCTGTAATGTGAGCCAACTCGAGACGTGCATCGCCGAGTTTTTATCATCGAAAGCTTAGGAATTCTATACAAGCGGGATCGGCAACTTGCCTGATAGTTGGTAACACGCTATCGATAATGATAGTGCATATATCCGCTAGTTGTGAAGAAAAAAAGGAAATAAAATTAAAGAAACAATGTAAAATGCGCACACTTCTGACAACCTGATACTTGCTGAGGATTGACCTCACTAAGAGAATTTCGTCAGGGAAAACGATGCCTGTTTCCACTTAATCGAGTTAGCAGCCTTTCGCATTTTTTGACCTTTTTTTGTTGGGCTCGAAAATGAAGTGTCTACTTGGCAATCAGCCCCGTGGGCGACGTCTGAGAGCCTTGCTCCGTTGCCGTCTTTTCGAGGTCACCAAAGATCACCATATACTGGCGCACGTGCTATTTCATTAGCCCTATCTTTCAAAATACTCGCCTTTCAAATTTATTCGGGTTTAATCTGTAACTGTTCTGCTTCCCTGTATCGTTGAGTGGTCCTCTGTCCGGTCATTATTGAAATGAGGAAATTTTTACTCTGCTCTACCACCTCCTGCATGCGAACGATTGCAAGTGGGATTGGTTGATCTTTCAGCATCTAAAAGATATAGGGATTCTCGCCTAAGTAACTGAGAAAAAGTAAACTTTGTGCATGAAGTAAATTTCGGATGAAGTAAATTTGAAAAATTATCTATGCCTTAGAAATTTCTGAATTTTGCTACCTACTATTATGGGACACCCTTAAATCTTCAGAGCACAATAAAGCAACTGACCAAAGCCATCGGGACTGGTAAGAGAATTAGCATGCCCGCCGGAGCTACGCCAATTACAAGATCAAATTACAAGATCTCGCTTTTCCTTCCTGACGGAAAATTTCTCGAAATGAACGGAACTGTATCTTGAAGGGTGATGAGGAGATTTATCTACGAATTCTATTCAGACCCCTTTGACGGCCACATCGAACTGTAGGCACCTGCACCTTAGGCTGTACTGATATGAAATCTGATTCGTTTCATTCTTCCGAAATTCGACATGCCAGCACGATGAAGAATAACTTGATGCCATTATTGAACAAGAACATCTTGAAAAGTTGAACGGGTTATTCACGCGGTATCTGTCGGAATGCAGAACTTGAAAGACTGTGTTGTTGTTCAGGAAGGGAGATTCATTATCAGCAATTGTTGCCCAATCTGTCTACTCTCTGTAATCTATAAACTTTTCACATGTCATATGAGTGATATTTAGCAGGGTTGGCATAGCACACAGGGCTTGGGAGGTTCATTACCACCGATCACATCCACACCGTCACATGAGCTATCAAATTATCACGGGATTACGGGATCCCGTTACGTCTACGTCCTCCATTCGGAGTTGCGGTAGATATAGCAGCCCTGGCAATCAGAGCTTTCGTACTGAATGTGTAAGAATGGTTTGTTAGCTCTGCCACAGCTTCACTGCCACGATCTCGCCATTCTACGAGAAGTCTTTGCCGGGGTGAAGAGAGAAAGAGAGATTCAGCATGAGCTCTTGTGTAGGCGTTTGATCCTCTCGATCTTTATTGGTTATCTTTTTGACCTGTATTTCGACTTGAGCTAATCGCGCGCCAAATCCATACATATAAACATCCGTTGCTGCCATTGTTCTCGAAGAATAGATTTTTACGGCACTCCGCCGCTTTTATATATATTCTTAGCTTTGTTTTTTTATCGTGATTATCATAAGCGATCAATCGTAACCTTCAATGGAAGTTTGTTTTATCCCTGCGGCTGTATCTCGCCTGAAATCAGGCTATTTTTATCCTTGCATTTTCATCTATTCGTTGCATCGGGGTTAAGCCACCTCTGTGGATCACAAGATCACACGCGAGGGACCGCGAGGGTTGCCCGCCGGAGATTAAAAGGGCCAGGAGCTCACTATAGAAGGCAAGCGTTGCCTTTTGGGAGGTCGCCCTCTTGTCTTCGCCAGACCCCGAGACCCGCCGTCGCCGGTCCCCTCGCCCATTCGACAATTATTTTCTTTTGTTCGTGTTTTATTGTTTTATTGCTCTCTCGCAATACTCTTATCCGCGGTGTTCGCTTTGGACATAAGTGGACAGAAACGGTTTCCATAAACTACACTTCAAAGGGACCGGCTGATAGCAAAGCACTGCATCATTTTCAGCACTTCCAAAGAGCAGAAGAATCAAAGAATAGCGAGTGCTAGCCCACAACAAACTAGTAGCTACTGACTATAGCGTGCAGTTTTTAAGCGAAAGCACGTTCATTCATTCGTTGCTGTTGAGAGAAACCTACTGTAAACTACTAGAGGCTACTAGCCCAATCCTTGGGTAGTTGCAATGAAATCTAGCAAGTTGCTCGAACAATTGAATCAAGATTAAAGTTTTAAGGGTTAAAATTTGATAACTTTTTCAAGCATTGTTGTCATAATGTTTTTCGTAGCCATGTTTTGCACAATGACTTTTCTCAGTCTACCGCATAATGATGGCACAGTTTTTCCAGTCGGACAACTAAATGAAATGAACAACGAAGATCACGGTTCACAAAGGTGAATTCATGGCGGGTGGACTTCTTTGTTACGACGCAGAAAAAAGGAAATGCAATGCTGCTGCTGCGAAACGGATTTTGAGAAACCGATACGGGGTTTTCGAGTGCAGATTCAAAAGAAAAGCGCACTGAAAGATAAGTGGGAGTGTTGTAGCCTGGATATGGCAGGAGCGATTGCTCCTATTATCAGGGGTCCCATATCTGTTTCTAGCCTCAAAGGAGGGGTGTAAACGGGCATCATCAACAGCGACCGCAGCTCGCAATGGAGTGAAGGTTCTTGTTCGCGCTGCTGCGTGGAGATGCAGTATATACACAAAACAGAATGAAGGTGAATGAAGCCACGAGTCTGTAAAAAAGTCGAGCAGTCGGAGTACCGATGATAGAAAGCACATGCAAAAACTCACATGGACCGTCGACCCATCCGAGGCCCCTAGGTTCCGACGCATATTCGGTGGAAACAATACATAAATATTTAAAGACATAGCTGACTATCTGATGCTTCGTACTTAAAGCTCGCGGACGACAAAATTGGAGAGGCACAATTTCGATTGCCACGTACAACAGGACTGCGTCTGTCGCGTTGATGGTTTCCTCGCCTTCCTCGGTTATCACCTCCGTTCATTTCCGCCCTCATATTTTCAAATGCCAGCACGTCAATAGACTGATTATTTATTCTCGTATTAGTCGCACAGTGTGAGAATATTCAATTGTTTCCATTCCGTTACGGCATATTCAAGATCTGGTCATAAAAACCACAGCGTTTTCCCGAACCGCGTGATTCATGCCCTTTGACCTAAACCCCTCTGACATTTCCCGCTCCCTCCTTCACCATATAAGAGCCATCGTGCGAGACTAGCCGTTACTGTTGTTACTGTGCATGAGTCGCACTAGCTTTAAGTTCCTTTCTATGTCGATAACCAATCTGCAATGGTTCCTGCCTCCTAGTCGGAATAAGTATCGTCCTCACCAATTCCCCGGCGTTGACAAAATGCCCCTAACCTTGTGCATGCGGCACCTCCGGACGTTGGAACCGATGCACCGGCATCCGCTACTGATCCTTTCAGTACTGCTGCGCTCACAGATTGGACGAGTCCCTCTCCAGACGATTCGGGCGCGTTGCACGCGACAGATGCGAAGCAGCATCGGAACGCTCCGCAGCGATTACTCGGGCCTTGTAACACTACACACAACCACTACAAATTCGTAACAATGAATGTAACACTTCTGGAGTAGTCCTGGGAGCCACAAACTCCCAGAATTACTCCATTTTCACGGTCCACCGAAGGAAGCTAACTTTTTAGTATGGCTTTCAGAGGACGTTATCCAGATCTTTCTTCCCCATTTACCACCGAGCAGAGGGCCAACTTCCTGATTAGTCACTCAGACAGAATGGCTCGCAAGAAAGTGGTGGAGCTCGCTGAGAGTGCATGCAAGAATTTTGATTCCCTGTTTAAAGATTTTGATTCCGTGGCTAGCCATGTGAGAGCCTTATTCGAAAGTCCGCAACGGAAGTACATCACTCCCAGAAACTCTCCTCCTGCCATCAGGAGCCTAGGGAGTCCTTCGTTACCGTTGCGAACAGGGTTCTTAACCTAGTCAGGGCCGAAACAGCTAGCCAGGACGCTACCCACGACCACGAAGATCGGGTTCTGGAAGAATTCGAAGCCCGTTTGCGCGGAGATATTAGATACTTCGAGAAGCTAGACAACCTGTCCACCTTTGGTAAGCATTTACCAAAGCGCAGGTGGTAGAGCAGTTACTTCGCGAAGCGACCGTGGGGCGCATCATCAACGCAGCTCCGCTAGTGCCCGCAGTAAACACGTAAGATAGCGGAGTAAGTGGTTAGAATCAGGTACTCAATAGATCCGACAACAAAGGTAATTTTCAAAGAAATTTCCGACGTCTCGACAGCAACCAACGTCGTTGTATGCTGGGCAACACAACGTCGCGTCAAGATAATCCTATATGGCCGAAAAGGTGCTATAATAGTAGAAGGACCATCCACCTCGCCTGCACGGCACCAACTCAACAGGATAAACAACAGGACAAAGAACTTCCTAACTCCGCTTATGCTTTTTCCAATCGCCGTTCTCACCAGCCTCCGCCGCCCGATGACCTGTGGGGTCCCCTCAGTCCCCCCACCGCGCCACGGGATGGCCTCGCTTGATCCGCTGCTCAATAATGGATTTATCGTTGACATTGGGCCAGACTTGGATTGAAGCCGATCAATTCCGGTCTTGGATAGCTGTAGTTGCTTACAAAACAATAAAATTCATTAACTCTTGGACGAGAGCGCGCCTTTTTGCGTGTCTGGCGCGCGAGACAGGGCGTTTTAAAGCTTTTCGTTTCCGCGGCTCAACGTTGGGCCCCGCTGTTTCACGGTTTTTTTTTCTGCGATAAGCTGTTTTCACTTTTCTCAAGGTTTTTTCTCATCATTAAGTTTGAAACAGGTAGGTATCACTTTTCTACTCTCATCAATTCTGGTTTTACGCATACTATAGCTATAAGATTCAAAAATAGATCAGCCCGCTGTAGACGACTTGGAGAGTTCCTTCGAAAGAGTATTGGTCAAGTCCGATGATGATATAGAGGAGACTTTGAGAAAATATTCTTCCCACAAAAACGTCTTAGTATTACCTACGGATAACGTATCTGATACGGAAGGTGAGACGTTATCAGTATCTACAGCGAGAGTGAAGACTAATGGATTACCGATGAAGAAGTTCATGATGACTTCGTATTCACTAAACAATTTGGCCCGTATGATCGTTTACAAAGTTGCCACGAACCGACCGACTTCTGCGAATTATATTTGAACGAAGAGATGCTTTCACCCATTGTCGGAGGAACGAATAGACAGGGAAGAGCGGAAGATTCTAATACTCAAGATACTTGTCTTGCCAAATCAAAAATTCTTCTGACTATGCATACAAATGGGAGTAGTGCAGTGCCTAAGCTGATAGATTATAGGAGCACCAGGCCTGCGATTGGTAGTGCAGATGCTGAAGCTGAGAGATTACAGGAGCACCAGACCTGCGATTGTCGGGCACTCGATTGCTGGAAAAGCGCTCAAGGACAATACAATAACAACAATATCTATTCGATGGCAACAGGCTTTGCAAGATCAGTAATTCCCTAGAAGTGTTCAACACGAACTGCTAGAAAGCCTACAGACCTGAAAAAGAAGTTTGTATTGATTGGTATCAGTACCATTCTGTGG